AATTTTTTTTATCCTCTGGATGATATTATTTCTTTAAATTCTTGTTGGTTCCCTGAATTGTGTCTCGTTGAGGCTCATCTGCTCAGTTGTTTTGAACTTCTGTCTTTCAATTTGGAGGCATTTTATAGATGTCTATAATACTTGTCTAGACATTCATATTTAAAGGTCAAAAACTTACTAAGAATGCTGTTTATGAATAAGGCTTTCTGACATGTGGTCACTCTGCTTTTTTTACGGGGGACTCCATATATTATTATTTAGAAATATTTTCTTTGAAAATATTTTATTTCCTGTCTACGGCTATGTTCTTCTTTGATTAGCAATGTAAGTCACTTTTCTCTTCTCACTTTTATTATACACAGTCAAGAGAAGCCTAGACATACCTTCAACACTTCGCTTAAATTATCTCCTCAAAGATTCAACTTCATTCCACGTAAGCTTTATCTTTCACAAAACACTAGGGAAGTCTGCAGACAGAGCAACGCAGGGAACTAACAGTACATCATGAAGAATAAAAATGTTGACTTAATCTTTCTGACTTTTGATCTGCACACCACCCCCACTAACCAACCTGGTAATCCTGAGTTAAGAGCCTCACTAGTTTAATGTCTCCAAATCGTTTACTTCCAGTTTTCAGGTATATGGGTAAGAAGTTAGTAACAGTAAGCTAAGATTTAACCATCTATATTTTGACTTTAAAGAAAAAGCTTTTATTTTAATTCCACACTTGAACTCTGAGTTTTACAGTAACAGTTTCCTTCAAATCCCAAGGCTTTCTTCATTTCTGTGAGGGCAAGCTTTTTTCATCACTATTTCTGTCTCTAGACACATAAATACTTATCTCTTTCCATGCTCTACAACTTAAAATGTTTTGTTTGCTTCTATCTTCTCTTCTATATTTTAACCACATGAACTGACACTTTGAAAACATGACATTATTGACATTTAAGTTTTTAGAAATGATCCTTTTCTGGATTTTCATATTTAAAACTAGAAAATTCATGTCTTCCAAAATTTCAAGTCTTCCTCACATGCAAAATACATTCATTCCATCCCGATAGCCATAAATAAGCATTAACTTATTCTAGCATCAACTCAAAAGTTTGAAGTCTAACATCTCATCTAAATATGATTTAAATTAAATGAGTGAAATTCATAGTACAATAGATTTTGAAGCAAACTGATCTCCAGCTATGAACCTGTGAAAACAAACACATTATGTGCTTCAAAAATACAATGGTGGGAGGGATATAGGGCAGACATTCCCATTCCAAAAGGAAGAAATAGAGAAGTAAGGGGTAACATGTCCCAATAAACTCCCAACACAACATTAAATCTTAAGGCCCAAGAATAATCTTTAGCTCAATGCTGTCTGTCAGGCCCACTGGGGTGAAGGTGGTCTTACCCCTGCTGCTTTGCTGAGCAGGGATTTGGGGCCCCACAGCTCTGAGCATCCTTGTTCCTACAGCTTGGCAAAATGGCCCTCCATCAGTTGTCTATTCTTCATTCACAGCATCACTGTGTCTGGGCACCATGGTTCTCCTGGGCTGAGATCATAAGCTCAGGGCTCTACCAGAAGGCTCCTTCCTTTAAAACCCAGGTAGAGCCTGCCATTACCCCTGGCTTGTGCGTTCTGCACCTTGGAGGAAATCTAACCCTCCAGAAGGATGATCACTGTACCCTCTGCCACACCTAGACACACTGAAGCTACACCTGAGGCAACTGATGAACACAGCCCACAACCTGAGTTCATGCTGGGCAGTGTGGCCGAAGGTCCCACAGACTCCTGTGGCCCTTACACTGGATTCTTTCTTTGTCTTGAATACCTCCTGGCTTCACTTGAGACTGTTGACTAATCTCCTTAACAGATGGTCATTTGGCCACACTCTTTAAGCTTGTTCCCAAACAGCCTTTCTCATTCTTTACAATATGGATAGGCTTACAATTTTTCAAACATTTAAATTCTGCTTCATTTTTGATTAGCAATTCCTTTAAGTCATTTTTCTCTTCCCATGTTTTGCTATATACAGTCAAGAGACGCCAAGCCATATCTTCAACACTTTTCTTAAATAATTCCTCAGTCAAAGATTCAACTTCATTCTTTTTATGTTCTATCTTTCACAAAACACTAGGGCAGGAATACAATTCAGCCAAGTTCTTTGCCTCTTTATAATAAGAATGGCATTTACTCCACTGTGCAATGCAATAACATTGTGATATTGTAAAATACATACTTAGTCTTTGTCTCTATTGTGGTATCTTTTTTTGTTTTTGGAGATGGAGTCTCACTTTGTCGCCCAGGCTGGAGTGCAGTGGCATGATCTTGGCTCACTGCAACCTCCACCTCCCAGGTTGAAGCAATTCTTCTCCCTCAGCCTCCCAAGTAGCTGGGATTACATGTGCATATCACCACACCCAGCTAATTTTTTTGTATTTTTAGTAGAGATGGGGTTTCACCATGTTAGCCAGGATGGTCTTGATCTTCTGACCTCATGGATCCACCCACCTGGGCCTCCCAAAGTTCTAGGATTACAGGTGTGATGTGGTATCTTTTTATACCCATGAGTTGACTGATGGCTGGCAGCCCCTCAGTAACATCAGGATGGAGGGTTAGGACTTTCTGCACCACCCCTCAAAACTCTGGGGAGGAAAGAAGAACTGAGAGTCAAGCTGGTCACCAATGGCGAATGACTTAATGAATCCTACCTACATAATGAAGCCTTCCATAAAACCCCAAAAGGACTGGGTTTGGGTAGCTTCTAGATGGCTGAACACTGGCAAGTTGCCACAGAGTACCACGTCCAGAGATGGCATGGAAGCTCCATGCTCCTTCCACCATGACTTGCCCTACGCATCTCTTCCATTTGGCTGTTCATCTGTATCCTCTATTAATGTCTTTTTTGTTCTTATTGTTTGTGAGACAGGGTCTCATTCTGTTGCCCAGGCTGGAAGGCAGTGGCTCAATCATGGCTCATAGCAGCTGGACCTACCAGGCTCCAACAATCCTCCCACCGCAGCCTCCTGAGTATCTGAGACTATAGGCACACACCACTACACACAGAAGATTTTTGTATTTTTTTGTAGGGACAGGCTTTTGCTATATTGCACAGGATGGTCTTGAACTCTTAGGCTCAAGTGATCCATCCTCTTCAGCTTACCAAAGTGCTGGGATTACAGGTGTGAGCCACCATGCCCAGCCATGTATCCTCTGTAATATCTCTTATAACAAATAAGTAAATCAAAGTAAGTTTATCTCTGAGCTCCGTGAGCTGCTCTGGCAAATTAATCAAACCTGAAGAGGAAGGGATCATGGAAACCCCTGATTTATAGCCAGTCAGTCAGAATACAGGTGGCAATCTATTACTGGCAACTGATATCTGAAACTGAAGTCAGGCATGTGGGACTGAGTGTCCAACCTGTGGGATCTGATGCTGCCTCCAAGTAGATAGTGTCAGAACTGAAATGAATTAAGAAGACACCCAACTGGTGTCTGGGTGAGAATAATCTTCTGCAGGATCTGCCAAACAACTGGTTGCTGGTGAGAAGAATTCCCCACACATTTTGGTAACCAGAGGTGCTACGCTGTATTGAGTGGTGAGAGAGGCTAGGAAAAACACTGATTGTTTCCTCTCTATCCTTAGAAAAATGTTCTTTCTTTACATGTGACATCCATCAAAATGGCCATTACTGTGCATATTTCCACCAATATTCTTTTCAGAACTATTCAGGTATTCTCTAAGAAAATTGAGGCTTTCTCTACAGCTCTCTTTTAACCTCAGTTCCCACCAGAATTGCCTTTAAAGGTCTGCTCACAGCAAGTGGGCCTTTGTATGCATTTCAAAATTCTTCCACCTACTACTGATTACGCAGTTCCAAAGGTGCTTCCACATTTTTTGGTGTTTGTTATAGTACCACCTCCACTTCTCAGTACCAACTTTCTGCCATAGTCCATTCAGTCTCCTATAACAAAATACCACAGACTGGGAAGTTTATAAAAACTAGAAATTTCTCACAATTCTGGCAGCTAGAAGTCCAAGATTCAATGTCTACTGGGGACCCACTTCTTCATAGACAGTACCTTCTAGATGTGTCCTCACATGATGGAAGGGGAGGACACTGATCTCTTCAGACATTTATAAGGGCATAAATTTCATTTATGAAGGTCCCACACTCAGGGCATAATCACCACCCAAAGGTCCCACCTCCTAATACCATCACAAATAGGGAATAAATTTCAAAGTATGGATTTTGGGAGACACAAATATTTAGTCCGTAGCAGAAAGAGATGCATGTATGGGGTCATTAAGCTATGTTTAATATTTTGCTTTTGTTATGAAGTTGAATCAACTAAAAACTAGATAGGAGATTAAGGTTTACATATAACTACTAACTTCAGCAATTCGGATGCAAAAATCGAGTTCAAAATTCAAATCTTTAGGCTGGGTGCCGTGGCTCAGACCTGTGATACCAGCACTTTGAGGGGCTGAGGTGGGTGGATCATGAGGTCAGGAGTTCAAGACCAGCCTGGCCAGCATTTTGTATTAAAAATACAAAAATTAGCTGGGTATGGTAGTGGAGAGTAGATTTAGATGTAGATGTAATCCCATCTACGCTACTGAGGAGGCCGAGGCAGAAGAAACCCTTGACCTCGGGAGGCAGAGGTTGCAGTGAGCCAGGATGTCACCACTGTACTCTAGCCTGGGCAACAGAGTGAGACTCTGTCTCAAAAAAA